ATACAAACTGAGCCATTTTGTTATGTTAGTAATGGTATATCATTTTGTTTAAGAACCATCTCATCTGTTTACTCTAAATTGTTATATAGAGCCAAAATTATACAATTCGAATATATATTCTGTTTAATTTAGACAATGGATATCTTTCATTTTTAAAAGTCCTCGCACCCTTTTACTCTAAAGTGCTCTGTTTCTAATAAAATTAAATAACAAACACACAAAACAAAACATTTTTTATACATTTATTTTATACATAAAACTATACATCCTACTGAAAGGGAAATACTTTAAACTCAAATGTGAGGAAAAGTAAAAACAAGCTTGAAAATATTAAATTTCTGTATTATAGGCAGAATTTTAAATTTCAAAATACATTTATTTTAATATGTAAAACTACACATATCACTGAAAGCAAACTCCCTTTAATCTTTGCCAAAGGTGAGGAAAATTAAAAACAAGAATAAAGGCAGAATTGAAAATTTCAAAATATAAACATACATATCAAAGTAAGAGAAGTATGAAAGACACATAATCAAAACATCAATTTATTTTAACAACAAGCCTAAAACTTTGACCATGACATAACAGTATACATAACAAAACAAAATGTATAAACAGTAAAGACCCTCAAACAATGTTTGATAAAACAGTATACATCAAAAAACAATAGAAAATGCAAAACACTAAATAAAATTAATTTACAGTGAAGACCATAACAAATAAATCTAAGATTAAGAACCAAAAAATAAAAATGCCGATATATTCCAAAATAGACATTAATGTAGACCCCAACAATATTCGGAGCTCGGCTTTAAGTATTACCAATGAAGCAAAAACGAGGGACTGAGCCAGCCATTTCATACAAAATACATATCACAACACAAATGCTTTTCAAATAAAGTTCTTCAATACAAAAATAACAACATGTTTATTTACTTGAGGTTTTAAGAATTAGAAAAAACCTAATTTACACAACTTGACATAATCTGTTAATAATAAGTGGTCATGCCATGTGCAACAAAAAGGCCATTCCATAAGAGACGACGTCGTTCACCGGCGTAACCAATCACAACCCATGTCAGACACAATCCTTAGAAAATTGACTATACATGGTAACTCACTTTACATGTACAGTCATATGAACTAACCTCATATTATCTACGAATAATTTTATAGGATGAAGTCAAGCCCCCTTTGACTAAAGCTAATCTAATTGAAAATGCAGAATAAAATAAAAAGATCTGTTCTATTACATTTGCTAAGTCTTACAATGTAGAATAATAACATTATATTTCACCGCATTTGGGTATTTTGATAAGTATATAAATTTGAAAAGGAACCACAAGAGTTTGGCTAATATTTCATTCAAAATTTGTATTTGAAAAACTGGAAATAATTCTCGCCTGCATGTCAGCTATGTTTAAAAAAATACATATGTTAGGTATCAGTCCGAGCTGCAAATCCTTATAAGTCACTAAAGCTCGTCTGAAGGATTTGGTTATATATTTAGGCAGTAACATCTATTTTTTCGCCATGATGCTATTATAATGATTTCATTTGCTTCCCGTGCATCAAAATAGTAAAGATTACAAATATCAATTTGCAAACGTATAAGTATTATTTAAGAAATTACTGAATTCAAAATGTATAGGTCATCTTTTGGTAGATAAATAACATCTAAAGACACGAATGGTGACATGACTGGAATCCGTAACTCTCAGTGCCTGTAAGTGAGAGTGAGGATGAAGCCTTATTAAACATAGAATACATGTAAACATGCATTCCAGTACAATTAATGTTTTGTCGCTAATCCAGAATTGTTCATGAATAAAACATTACTACTGTAATTGGAACTTACGCAAAACTAACTGCGCAAATACGTTTTTGTTAAAATGTCATTTTAAGCTGAACAATGCATGCCAAACTTTTGATAACCAATAAATCAAGTTTTAAATTTCACATACATGTAATTAACAGTTTTAGAACACATGACATAATTTTATATCTTTTATTGCATCCATCGAACGCGACCAGTATCGGATCACTAGCGCAATAGAAAAGATGCTAGGTTGGCAAGTAAAGAAAAGTTATTATAAATAGGTCAGCTAATAATAAACTGATAGTCAACAATAAAAATCCGCAAGCATGCACCGTTTAACAACACCATATACATAAATCGGAATACAAGCATAACACATATGTTTTACATTTAAAATATTACACTTCAATATAAACGATATTTCAGAATTGATTCTTACCGTCGGTTACCTTTATTATTTGCATGTAATATGTCCTTGATTGCAAACCAAAAACATCATAGCATCCGATTAATGTTTTTGCTTTTCGCTTTTTTAGTTTGTTGAAAATTCATAACAGAACTTGTCTTGCACGTGTTATTTTTGTTTCATCAAACATCTTGTCTTTTATATATAATTATATTATATACTCAGTGATTTTTCTTCTTATATAACAGAGGCCTATAATAGGCCTCTCCCAATGGGATCATGTAGTTTTCCCAAAAATCTGAACTTACACCAGCGTTTTTACTTCACAATTCAGCAGTTTTAGCCATGACTCCTCCCAAAAATCAACAGGCTAAGGCCTCTTCCAAATTTACTGAGAAAATAACTGATACCTTCATTTAAGATTGAATACGACACTTTGCGATTCCTAAGTGAAAGGAAGAACAGTGAGAACTATTAAAATGTTGAAAAGTTCTGAACAAACGCATATATAGATTCATATAAATCCTTTAAAAATATCAATATTCCTATTTGATAACATGAACTCAAATCTTAATGAAAATTTTATGTTTTATACATGAAATGCAGGCAATTGCATATCGATATATTCACAATTACGTATAAATGTACGGCGTTCATTGTGGGATCAAAATGATAAACGAGTAAATGCATACATTGTGATAAATAAACACATTGTACTACAGTCAGTTTCTAATACATTTCATGAATAAATTTGATAAAAAAGCAGAATTTTTTCAGATATCTTCTGCTACATGTACCTATATTTCTTATCTCGAGATATATCGCATTTTACGCAGGTTCATTATGCAAGTTTTATTTCTCGTAAATTCTTGAACTGTTTGATGTTGTTTTTTTACTTTAACAAGTAACTATACTTTTATAGATGAATGTATCTCCTCCTGTGTAAAAGTATTAAAATAAGTGTGATCCCTCGGATGCATTAAAGCAGTATGCCTCCAAATTCATGCTTTTTTTTCATCAAACTTAAACTCAAATGCATTTAAAAATATAATATTGTAAAGTGAACAAAGAAGGTAATATACCACTTGCAAATAGCACTAAAAATCCACATAAATTACCAAAAGAGATCAAAATATGCAAAAATAACCCTTACTGCGTTAGTAACGTTAACGCAGTGGAAATATGGTCATAAAAACTGCAAAATTAGTGATTATTCGCATATAACATGTAAATTATTACTTGATTCTTGAATTTTTTAACTTTTGTTAAAATCTTAGTACAATTATCTCAAGTTTAAATATCTTGAAACATTTTGGCTCCTCTGGAGGAAGCAGTTTTAATCACAACAAAATTACAAGAACATTGCAGACTCGGTTTGACTGAGTCTGTACCATTAAACAAACAGTAAAACAGTTTGAAAAACAAAATGAAACCTGTATGATGAACAACCAGAACAGGTGATAAACAGATTTAATAACTTAATTTAACGAATATTTAGTTTCACGTTAATCATAATTATACGTTGGTATGTTTGTTTGATTGATTGGGGTTTACGTCACACCGACACAGTAAATGTCATATGGCGACGTTCCAGCTGAACTGGTAGAGGGGGCCTGAGGTGCCCTTTCGTGCATTATTTCAGGCACAAACGAGCACCTGAGTGGATCACCGACGTTCCGTAAGATAGCTTTCTCACATGAAAAAATCCAAAGTCCCTGTCGGGATTTGAACCCATATCGGTCAGGGGCAAGTGGTTGGAAGTCAACGACTAATAACTACTCGGCCATGGACACTCCCGTTAATCTTATACAAATTGAACACTTTACTTTGATTACATAAAAATATGATTTTGTAATTTTATATGAAAATTTTATGTTTCGTACGTAAAATACAGATAATTTCATATCGGTTGATTTACTCATTTCGTAAGTACATTCATTGTTTTATCAAAATGTTAAACGATCAAATGTATACATTGTCATAGATAGACACATGGTACTGCAGTCTGTATTACATCTCATGAATAAATTTAATTTAATAAAATTGAATAAAAAAGTATCAGATATTTTCATTTACATAATAATTATGCAAAGAAGCATTTTATTTCATATAATTTGTTTGTAACCAGATATTTTGCGAATCAAAGCTATATGTAAATTGTTTTGTGTGTACGTAGTGTAATTATACTAAAAGCAATTTATGTTAAAAGATATATAATTCTTAAAATTAGGCAAAAATCCAATGGGTGTTCATTGATGTTTGCCCTATCCCTTTTAAATGTTTTAAAATTATGTAAACTGATATTTAGTACCTTTACTAATAAATTTTTAATAAATTTCTTTTCATTTAAATTTTCAGTTTTTCATTTTCTCTTTATCTATACGTGAAAGTCAGGAACATGTTTTGGAATACAAATCAGCATTTTTATCATCTCTGATCTGTGTGGGATCAGCTGATTTCATCATATCATATGTTACTACTCCTGTGGTACATCCTACTTTATTATCTTTTTCTGGCCATATTTCGAAGGATAAGCAGATAGGGTCTTCAGTACAGGCTGCTTTACATTCGTCCAGGATCCCATATATCGTAATTGGACCACTGTTAAAATCATTAATCTTTTTTCTCTCGAATTTAGTATAATTGTCTGTCATTGTTTGGCAAACTGAAAATTAAATTAATATATATATAATTTTATCTATCTAATATGATCATAGCAGAAATTATAAACTTTAATAGGGAATAAAAATAAATACCAGCTTTAAAAAATTAAGGCATAAACAGCACGTTTGAAATCAACTATTTTTGTTATTTTCATCACAGTGAAAAATACATTTTATGCAAAATCCTTTTGACCTAACCCGAGTCAAGAATGAGATTGATATATTTAATACTAATTAATATCTCAAGCAAATCACCTCAAGCAAATTCTTTCAAAAATGTCAAGAGTACTCTGGGAAGTGCTCAGTCTTATACTCCAAGAAAAGGTTGCTCTAATTTATTTTTTTTTTGTGCATTTTGGTTTTAGTAACAATGAAATACGATTAAAGGCCCATTATGCTCCGGAAATTATATCAATTTTATGTCTAATTCTTTTTTATTTCTGGTATCTTGTTACAGTTACCAAAATAATAATAATAATAATAATAATAATAATAATAATGATAATAATAATAATAATAATAAATAAATAAATAAATACATAAATAAATAAATAAATAAAAGAAATACTTATAAGCCATAATCATGAAATATCTTCTAGCACTTTTGAAATGTTGGTAATTGGTATATTTATAGTGAATTATTATTTTGTATGGAGGTCAAAATACTACAGTGCTTTGTTTTCATTTTGCTACATTTTTCGGCACATAACTGCATGTTCAGTGCTACTTTTATTAGCTATTAAACATCTGACACAATTCTATTTCATAATTTAAACATTACTTAAAGCATGTTTGACATTTCTAAAGAACTGAATATTATAAATTTCTTCGGCATAATGTGCCTTTAAACTAACACAATATGAATATTTCAGTGTTCTGATTACTTTATGGACGATATACGTACGTTACCTTTTGTGCAGTTTTTAACTGTGTTGTTATATGCAAAAAGCTGATGACAAAAACATTTCCCTTGTATGCACACACCCTCTGTTTCTTTACAGTCCGTATGATTTGAGCAAGCCTTTCCGTGCGCTAAAAATAAATACAATTAATTTTAGTTCAGGTTTAAAATCAATCAGACATATTCCATAGAACAAGTGATTTAAAAAGTTGCTTCTTCTTGTATCAAAATTCCATTCCATTTTTTACAAATTTAAGAACTTTAAAAAGAAACCTTTTAAAATACATAATTTTATATAAACTTTAAAATTAAGATTACATTTATATGTTTCCAGATAAATGTAGTCAATATGGAAGATTCTAAGATTATCTAAAGTAGAATTATCTGTTCATAAAATGCAATGGCAAATGCAATCATTCGTGAAATTAGCATGGTATTTAGTACAATGTAACATATGCAAATGATTGGAAACGATAATGATACTTCAACCGCCAATTTGACATTAAAATATTACTAACAGACATGTAGATAACAGAGATAAGCCGCTCTTGAATACCCTATTGAAATATCACTCATGCCTACCAACAAGTGAAAAATTAGGCATTTTGTAGCAAGTAAAACTTAACAGTTATAGATTTGATCCTTTCATACTATACAAAATTGGAAAGTACAATATTTCATCTCTTGCTGCAAGTTAAAATATTGGTAACTTTCCATGTCTTTCACTTAAAATCATAGCAGAACTTACCAACTGAGCCAGTTTGTTCGTCATATGAAGTTTTGTAACAAAAATTAATAAGTTGTTCTCTTTGAAATTGATGTATCATTAATTTAACCCTTTCGCTGCCAGAGGGTTATTGTTTTATTGTTCACCTATTTGCCACAGGATTTTCTAAGTAATTACTATATTATTAATTAATATAATTATTATCATTTATTATTAGTAATACAATAATTATATATGTTTCCAAATCTGTTAGTATAATAATAATTATTGTCGACGGTATAATTTTCTTTATAATTATTATTATTTTTATAATTATTTTTATTAATTTATTATTATTACTATTATTATTATAGAAACGCCTAAAGCCGTCCATATGGCAAATACGCCGAAAATAACAGGGACGGAAGCCGTCCCTATGGCAGTGAATATGAACTGTAAATAGTTTTACCTGCAGCTATAGACAAATGCAAAAGCTTTCAGAAAATGTTTCATTCTACTGATTTTGAAATCTGGTTAATAAGTTTTACTTGCTACAAATTTAACGTGATTTCTAGGAAGTTGCCGATCTCTGTTATCTATGGCTCTGTTATTAACCTAACCCAGTTTTATAACTACTATATTAACGACTGAAGCGAGAAGAAAAATGGACATAACAAAACAAACTTAGTTTTCCAGAAGGGATCAAATGTTATTTGAAAAGTATGCACCCCTAAAGGTGGTGATGCAGTGTTCAAGTAGGAATATTGCAACCATATATATCTTACTAGGGCATGGTTGCACATAACATGACTGTTTCTCCTCAATTTGCACATCCGAGTGATCACAAGACGATTCCCCATTGCCTTCTTTGCGAAAAGAACACTTTTTCGATCTTGTTTGAGTTCCCGAATTACAACTTACGCTACATGTGATCCATGGTGACCACGTGGCCAAAGTATAGTTAGCTGAAAGCCAACGTACAAGTACTTGTGAATTAAATCAACAACTAAATAACGGATTGGCTAACATGTAAATTCAAAAATCTTCAATATATTGAATAATACTATACAATGAACAAAGCGTAAGTGCAAGATTTAACATGATTATTATCTTTCTTTTTGACATTCGTTGTTTCTGGAAAGAGTGTAACAAAATCTCCATTAGACTGAAGTCATAAGAAGTTTCTTTTGCTATATTATTTTGTTATTTCTGAAGTTTGAAAGGAAAGGTCAAGAAGAGAGGGCGACAATTGCTAAACATACTCCTAAACAATACCCAACAGTAATATGGCTTGTTTTATTATGATTCTGTATTTTTAGCATTACAGTGTTAAAAGCAATTAAACATGATATTCTTAATAATCATGTTCAATTTGATATTATAGCATAGAATCGGCTATTATTCCCTCTTTTGCTCTTGTTATAACGGGACCAAAACCATTGGTTAACATAGGAACGCGCTCTTGTTATAGCCCGGTTTTACGTATGCGCAATGCATACATGGCCCAGTAAACACACACAAACTTGACGATTTGGCCCCTTTGCCAAAGAGTCATGCGCTCTTGTTATATTGAAATTATTGATTCGACGGCCTATATCACAAACCGGCGAGCAGCATTCAAGTAACTATGCCGGAAATACGGCGTATAGACATCGCCGCTTATCTTGGTTGCCTCACACAAAATGAATATGAGAAAATGTTGCTTTATTGATGTTTATATTGATAAATGCGTTTTATATTTCTTTGAGCGAATAATGTTTATTGCCTAATTTTTTTATAAACTTGTGTGCTTGAAAAAAAACGATTCTGATGTCATTGATTTTTTCTACCGTCAATCTGAAATCATTCAAGTCCTTTCTGAGGGTCATGTGTTGTCTTGGGTAGAGTAATTTTTTATGCGATTATAAATCTCTAATAGTTAGCTTTATAAAGTCTGCCAAGTCCCCCGCAACTGTTAGAGCCAAACGTTCCTCGGGACTCTGCAGACGTTATAACACGGAAAAAAATAAAGCAATAAAATTTTCAGCTCCGATTTTTCTGGTTACTAATAGCTTACAAACCAATTTTCAGTGGGCTTGACCATTATATTATTTTGATGATATTTTTTTCCTATTTCCAATTGCTTAAAGTAAAATATTTGCTAGTGACCAGAAAACGTGATTAACACGCTTCAAACGGAACTAAAAATCTACAAAAATTACCAAAAATATGCAATGATAGCCTTTACTTCATCAGTCCTGCAGTACAATTACTGTGACAATACTGCAAATACCATTAAGTAATAGAAAGAGCATCGAAACACGAGGCTATCTGATTATCTGATTGGTACGATTGGTAACTAAAACATGCACTCCAGTTAACGCACTGTGCGTGTATATGTATACGATTTAACTCTGACACATTTTCAACAGAAAGGTCCCCAAACTATGATGCAAATAATTCATTAAGTCATTAATTGCATATTAAATGTGTTTCTTAAATTTTTAATATTTTTAAAAAAAATCTTAGTAAATTTTTCTTAAGGTTTATGTTCATGATAAATTTTGGCTCATCTGAAGGAATACAGCTTACACGTGCTAGAAACAAGTATCTGGTTAGCATTGAAACTTGTCACACAGTTGTACATATATTGTTGCTTTGAAAGAAATTCGTTTACCAATACGAATTTACTATTTCAAGCTATAGACATCCTTTTTTTATGAATATATTTATTTTGCATGACATATTTTGTTGCAATAGAAAACCAAATCAAAATAGGTTGCTAAATGATAAATCCAGTGAGTAAATGTAATGTACTGGGTGAAGACATTTATCTTCACCTTAGTGCAGTAACGGGATAAATCATTATAAATATAATAGGAGTTATTCAGTTATTGTTTTGCGTTTAATTACTCCATGTTAAACTTTATACATAACATACAAAACATCCTTAAAATTTTCCAGAAAGGATCAAATGTTTTTTGACAAGTAGGTACTATATTCTAAAGGCGGTGATGCAGTGTTCAATTAGCAATGTTGCAATTATAAATTACTTACTAGGGCATGGTCGCACATTACATGATTGTGTCTCCTCATTTTGCACATCCGATTGATCACAAGACGATTTCCCTATGCGAATAGAACACTCTCTCGATCTTTTTTGAGTTCCCGAATCAGAATTTACGCTACATGTGCTCCATGGTGACCATATAGCCCAAGTATAGTTAGCTGAAAGCCAACGTACAATTATTTGTGAATTAAACCAGCAAGTAAATCGGTTTGTAAATCTGTAAATTCTAAAATCTTCATTTTATTATGTAATATTATACAATAAAAAGGCGTGAATGAAAGATTCTGACATATTTTTTTCTCTCTTATTGACATGCATTGTTTCTGGAATGAGTGTAACAATGAGACTGAGGTCATTAGACAGTTTCTTTGTTATGTCTCAAATTTGAAAGGATCAAAGAAGAGAGAAGGGAGATCAAGAAGAGAGGGCGACAATCGCTAACATATCCCCAAACAATACCTAGTCACATAAAGCCAACAGTAATATGGCTTTTATATAGATTTTTATACTTCACAGAAGCATGTGTCAAGTGCTGTGTGGCAGCTGTAAAAAGGTGCCCCGTACTTCACTTCAGTGTTGTTATATTTTCTGGTCCTTCGGTACAATTGATGCCAGCTTTATAAAATGTTGAAAATTGAGTACCGCTCAAGCCGGTGTAGACAAATTTTCAGTGAAGTTAAACATCGTGGTATTTTCATGATAATTTTTCTATTTACTATAATTATCGCTTGAAGTAAAATTTTTGCTAGTAACCAGAAAACGTGATTTACACGCTTCAAAAGGAACTTATATTAAAATCTACGAAAATACCAATCATTGTCAACAATATACAATGCTAGCCCTTACTGCGTCAGTCATGCAGTAAACAAACTATGACAATACTGCAAGATACAAGTAGATATCGTCAGCATTGACTTGTCACACAGTTGTACATATATTGTTGCTATAAAAGAAATTCGTTTTCAAATACAAATAAACTATTTCAACGTAAAGACTTCATATGTTTATGAATGTATTAACTGTAGATGATATTTTATGTTGCAATAGAAAAACAAATCAAAATAGGTTGCTTAAATAATGATGATGTCAGTGAGTAAATGTAATGTCCTGTGTGAAGACCTTTAACTTTACTTAAGTGCTGTAACGAATAAGCCCTTCATAATCTAATAGGAGTTAATCTGTTATTATAGTAAGATAACGATTTAACCAGGTAAAGATGATTCGAAACAACTTTCCTTTTTCATTAAATTGCTCCAAGAAGAACTCTTATGTAACATTTGATACATAAACTGCTAAAATGTAGTGCACTATTTATACATGCTAACCGGCGTTTTAAAGTAGATTGGTCAACATTTGTTACATTTTCCGTCAGTATTTTTATATTGATAAAAAGAAAGAAACACATTTAGTCCCTTTAATTTTCCTAGTCGGTCTGTTGCACCTGCAAATACATGCATATGCAAAAAGTACATTTAGTTATTTGATTGTTCGCTTGAGCCTATTTTAAAGGACAAAAATACACTCAAACAGACACCATACTTTTCATATTGTACGAAAACGACATAAAAGTTTACCCTTTTTCTTGTTGAAAACCTTTAAGATAACATGGCATCATTTAGGAATATTCTTGTAATTTTAGGAAATATAAAATAATGTATTTTCTTACTTTTTACACATTCTGTTATATGGCTCCATTGCCCGTTGTAAAGACATTCAGCTACAGGTTCCATGCCGTCTTTTTTTAGTTCGTATCCGGGATTACATATGTAACGAATCTTATTGCCAACTTCCCTTTGATTACCAAGAACTTTACCATTGTCAGGGGCCGTTGTGTTGATACACTCTTAAATCATTAAAAACAAGAGGTTATGATGTAAAATATATGATATTATATTATTTGCTAAACATCGGATTTTTTTTGCATTTAATTTATTAATAACTAAACCGTCTAAATATTTATCTTTTAAAAATTGTCAAAATTTAAAAATAGAATTTAAGACAATAAAACATAATTTATCAATTTTGTATTAAATTTGAATTAACATTCACGTAATTTAAACGACTGGCTTCAAAGTAAGAAATTTAGCAAAAAAAAAACACACATGATCCAAACTCAAACCTTGTCACTATATGCTCGTTATGGATGATTTATGCACGCAAAAGAATCCTCACGAGTTTATCGCGTGTTACACTAGAATTACACACATAAAGTAAGCACCATATATTCATTGTACATCTCACTAAGGTTACCAATCGCACGTTTGCACGTTTTTGATTAAGTACTGCATTCGGAGAGTTGTCAGCAATAGATAAAATCTTTTATTTCTTAATTTAGTTCTATTTAATATCGATACAATTGTCACGTACATTTGTGTAAAAATGAACCGTACCTTTTCATCAGCCCTGAAATATTTTAAAACAATTTCATTCCCAAGATATATAATTTGGTGTTGTTTTACGGCGCACCACACAATTTAGGTTATATGGCGCCGAAAACAAAAGGATGATTTACATTAACCTCGGGTGTGACAACGCAAACGCCAGGGATCAAAACCCTCTCACGTGCTAGAGCTAAGACGTGCACCAAAATTCGAACCCATGTAGTCGCCTCTTATGATCCTCAACTATTAAAAGCAAACCCTCAGGCTCAAGGTGAAAACTATGAAAATTATATTTGTATAATAAACCTTATCGTGGTATGATGAATCTTACCTTTTACTTTACACTTTCCACTTTTGGAACTAATTGATTCACATACCTCCCCATGCTTACAACGTCCTTGACAAGGCTTCTAAAGTCAGATAATGTAATACTTAAAAGCATTAAGATATTTATCAATTTAAGCATATGGTTTGAAAATTGTTCCTGACAATGTTGTGTTATGAAGGTTTATTCACATTGTTAGGCTCTTTGACGAGTTCTAAAACCTTTTATTTAGCACACGAAGAGAATCACTTCTTATCTTTAAGATTATTTCAAACAGTCAAGAGAAAGTTTAAAAACATGTGTTTTCTATATCCATCAAACACATTTATAAAATATAAATCAATGTCACATGACATTACTCTTAAGTATGTAACTTGATATTATATTTAATTATGTAAGGTTAATTATCATTTTTTATGGAACAGTAAGATAAATTTAGAGTTCTTCATCATCAAGTTTGACAACATTTTAAAGTGAAGTTGTTATCACCCAATAATGCATGTTAATTGCATGTGTATGAATAAACTAACCGACATTTTAAATACCACCAGTTGATAATTTTCAATAATAATAATACTAATTATAATAATAATTTAAAAAAAAAATAATTTTTATAATAATAAAAATAATAATAATAATAATTTTTAATAATAATAATAATAATAATAATAATAATAGTTATAATAATAATAATCACCTGCATTGAAAAAAAAATCATCAGATAACAAAAACAATAATAATAATAATAATTATACTTAAAATTACAATTATAATGATAAATAATAACCTGTATTGACAAACATCATCAGAAAACTTATATTAATTGGGGAGAATAATAGATAATGATGAAGAATTTCTCGAGTTTTACAAGAATACAAAAATAAGAAAGAAAAGTACACCATAAACTACCTTTATAACTTTGATGTTATCCTTTTTTACATGTACACACTCGCCTAGATTTGATTGCTCCGTTTCTGAAGTGAGATATAGCTCACAACCGTTGATTTGATTTCTATAGATAAGAGACCTGCAGTGGACCCTTGCACCACACTCTGCCACACATTGTTCGATAGATATACCAATAATAAACTGAAATCTGTCTTTGTCAGATTTACACCAATTTTCGTAGGTCACAGAATACTCTAATTCAAAATTGTTTATTTTTACATTTACTACAGCAAAAACTGTTTCAAAAACAAGCAGTAAAATCAATTCACATTTCATAACTTGCAAAAACATTTCGATAAATTGAAAAGAAAGACAAAAAAAAACAACAACTTCATGATCAAAAGGTAATCCAAGACAGTGCGACGCTCATTCAACTAGAAAATGTTAGAGCGCACAAAATATGACAGAACCTTACACTGAATCGTTGTTTACCATAGATTCATAGCAACACTATAACCATTCAAATTAAAAGTTAAAGAGCATTCCATACAAAAAACTGCTTCATATGAAATTTTGCAAAACAGGAAAGTGAATTCCCGCACCCTGAATTTTTTAGCAAATGAACTTTGATAACGTGTCATTTTCAGCTGAATAATGTATGCTTAAATGATAGATATTAAATTCCACATGTAGGTAATTAAAAATCTCTCAAACACAAAATTAATATACTATTCAACTTTCGCTAAGCACCCAAAGTTAATTTTTATATAATGACAAGTATAAAACAGATTTATTTTCCAATTTTTGAAAATCCTGATTCAGCAATGTTTTGAGATAGTCACCTGACATAAATCCGTGCAAACTAATCCGTTACAACTCGTCTAGGTACGGCGCTTGGTGTATTCCAAACCGTCATCACCGTCGTGCAAGGTTTTTGACAGCAACTTCTATTCGAAATGACCTTGCTAATGCTGTGGGGGTCCATGTTTCCACGCAGACGGTACGTACAATGCTGCGTGAAGGTAGTTTCCGGTCGAGGAGACCTTGCGTACGCTTCTCCTTCACGCGTCGACCTAGTTGTGCTAAAAAGAGGCACACTGACAGGCCAGCGATGCATAGATGAAATCTCAGACAAACAGGTTAGGTTGTAAACTAGGCAGTCGGCGATCAGTTCATTCTAAGGGACGAAAATGCTCGCCCTCATAGGGTCAGGGTGGTTCAGGACTTCCAAGAGAGGAAGTCTTTTGACACATGGATTGGCCAGCTCGTGCAACCTACCTAAATCCAATAGAATACATGTGGAATGAGCTACAGGTTAGAATTTAAGTTCGTCAGCTGCAACCCAGAACCATCTAGGAGCTTTGAATTATGTATAGGTTCAAGAATGGGCAGTCATACCCCCATACCCTTTAGAACGATCAGACACCTAATAGAGAGTATGAGAAGGCGCTGCCAAGCTATCATTGATAGGCACGGATAACACACACACACGGTATTAAGTCTTAAATTGTTCTGAAATCTTCAAAGAGGCGGGTTTTGGGGGGGAGTCATTCTCTTAGCATAAAATCAGTGCAAAACTCATTTATATGGTAAGTAGTTAGATTCGTCCTTCAGCAGAATTGATAAAACAGTAAGTCAACATCGGCGTAAATGAAATTATCCCGAAAAATATGCACTCAAACATATGGTGCATAGCAAAAGTTGAGTAGTATATATATCTTTCATTACTTCAAAACTATTTAACTATTTATAATTAACAAATGTTGTTTTAATTGCATTTTATTGAAGTCATCAACACCAAAAGGCCTGTTAAAATTATTCCCATTAAAATATCAAATAAATTACAGAAATGATTCCGTTTAATTTTATCTAAATTTTTTATAGAATACAGAATCACGCGCTTATTTCCTATGCATACTAAATAAGTTTCCTTTTAACTTGATATGACTATATGTATACATTGCACGCATGATTGATATTGCATTGATAAATTATACCAATGTTGAAATTACATTAAACGTTCACACAAACAACAAGGGTTATAAATAGCTCCATTGAAAATGAAAAGAAATCTCAGTTAGAAGCGTTACGAAAAAATATATATAGAAAATTGAAATATAGATAAAACTTCTATAAAATACATTAAAGGGGAAAATGAAAATAAAATTAGTGAACTTGATTCTCAAATATTCTCAAGATTATCAAGGAAAGGCGGCGTTCAATAAAGTTAATAAAAATAAGCGTGTTTGTAGACAGTGAGATTTAAATTCACCTTATATCTTTATCTTATGTGCAGAACTTTTGGGTTCAATGATTAGGAAAAATAATAATATTACTGGAATATCGATTGACAATAAAGAAAATAAGTAAAGTTGTATGCAGATGACACCAAACTGTTTTAAGATGGAACTGAGAAATCATTAGAACATTGCCTAAACATGCTTGATAAATTTCATGCCATTTCTGATTTAAAGATAAATGCCGAGAAAACAAGGGCGTTTTAGATAGGGTCGAGAAAAGATTCAAATACTAAATTACGTCAACAGATTGAATTAGACTGGTCTCAATCTCCAATAAAAATATATGGAGTAATATTTTCCCCAGACGTTGAGGACATTTGGGACATAAACGGACATGAAATTCTTAATAAATGTGAAAAATTAATTAATGTATGATCTAAGCGTAATTTAACTCTTTTTGAAAGAGTCACAATTATTATATCTTTCATTATTTCAAACTTTGTACATTAAACAAATAGAAAGATTATCATATCTGTTTTTATGGAAAAAGGTCCAGATACAATTTAAAGATCAGTTATAGATATAAATATAGAGGCAAGTGGTATTAAATTGGTAAATGTTAGAGCCTTTATGAACAGTTTAAAGTTAAGAAGGATCAAACGTCTATTGAACGAAAATGGCGAATCTTGGGTTACCCTCTCTCGTTTTAATATAACAAAAGTGGTAAAATTTGGTCCTAGTTATGCATCAGTTGTATCTGAAGAACTTATAATATTTACTGGAAAAAAGTGTTGAAAACATGGACTAACTTTTGCAAACTAGAGATATGTCCATAAGACATGGGTGCCCCCCACACTCCACCAATTTGTCAATCTTATGTCTCTAGGTCAAATATTTGTTTTTGCTACATGTGCCAAAGTTGAAAACTAAAAATTTTTTATGAAGAAAAGGGCAATACTACAAATACTGAATAAATCAACAAGGAAACCCTATAGTGCATAAGTACCCATGCAATTGACCAACATTCGTGTGAAATGTCAGGCCTACAGGTCAAATACTTTTTGAGTTACATGCAACACAAGTTAAATATTGTAATTTGTTACTAAGTCAAAGGTAACGACTCTAAAAATACTAAATATATTCACACAAAAATACCCAGGTGCACAACTACACATGTCGATCAACATTCCTCTAAGCTTGATGACTCTAGGTCAAATATTTTTTGAGTTACGTGCGACACAAGTTGAAAATTGGAAATTTTTACTAAGTCAAGGGTGATGACTCTAAAAATACTAAACATATCCACACGAAAATTACTTGGTGCACAACTGCACATGCTGAGCAACATTCTTGTAAGGTTTAATGACTTGAGGTCAAATTCCTTTTTAGTTACGTGCGACACAAATTGAAAATTGGAAATTTTTACTAATTCAAGGGCAATAGCTCTAAAAATACTAAATATATCCACATGAAAATACCAAGGTGCACAAATTCACATGCTGCTCAATATTCCTGGAAGGTTTCATGACTCTAGGTCAATTACTTTTTCAGCAACGTGCAACACAAAAACAGAACGAACGGATGTGCAGATGGACGGACAGACGGACAAGGGTAAATCTAAATTTCCCCACTGTGGGGGCACAAAAAGCGAACATTGAAAGTATCGAATATATATTATATTAACCATTATGGTTTAACACTAGATTCCGTAACACTAATTTATATTTTAACAATGGGATACATCATTATATTATATACATTATTGATTTCTACGACAATGACGGTAATATTACGGTATTCAAAAATTGAAAGATATAATAATATTATATCAGATAAGAGGAACAGTTTTTGATATTCCACAAGTCATTGAGTCAATCCCTTTTTTATTGAGAGAAAAGAATAGGAACAGTAGGGATGAAGTATTTTATACAAGCAACACATTACTTAAATGTGTTATACATAATGGTAAGAATTGTAGATTCTTTTATGATATCCTTATTGACGCTGACAAATTAGTTGTTCCTTACAAATGGGTACATTCTGTAGGACCATTATCACAGAAGGAGTTTTTAAATTTTTGTTAAGCTAAAATTACTGTGAAAGAAATAAAGTTGAAAGATTTTCAGTATAAGATTAATCAAAAACTTCTTGTGACAAATACATTTTTACATAGAATAGATATTAGAGATAATGATTTATGCTCATATTGTAACATTTATAGAGAAACGATTGAACATCTATTCTATCAATGCCCGTTTACCAATATTTTTCTTTTAGAATTAAAAGAATGGCTTAGAGATAAGTGTCGAATTTGATATTTCAGACATGAAAGACATACTGTTCTCGTATTATGGAAAATATTCTATTTTGAATTTTGTAACATCATTAGCAAAATACTATGTTTATAAAACAAAATTTAGAGAAAACTGTCAAAATTACTTAAATATAAATATGTTTTAATGTACTTAAAAATAAAATTAAAAAATCAAGAATATATAGCCTTTTCAAATGGAGATGTCATTTCTTTTAATAATTTGTTGCAAAATCTTATTCAAAAATTATCCCTTGCTGATGAGTAACCTTATATCTTATATTACAATACCGATATGGAAATTTGAGCAACATAAAAGATCTTTTTAAAATATAATCAGACAACCTAAATAAGAAACATATATACAGGCCTCTATACAAAAAATGTTGTTATTTTTTTTCAATCAATGTGAATTTATATATATACGAGTATATATATATACGAGCCTACATGCTGAAAGGAGTACATGGCATTTCTGTCGATTACGATTTTCCGAAAGAGATACAAATGGCACGCTCTCGACTATGGCCAAAATACAAAGTACAAAAAGGGTTAAATCCAAGATCAAAAGTAAAAATAATATATCCAGCTAAATTGATTGTTGATGGTAAAGTTATTCATGATGAACTACCAGAATGGAACCAGTTTATTCAGAGGAATCGCCTGGAAAATATTGAACAATTAAACCAATCCGATCAGAATACCTCGGTGCCTGGCGTACAATCATGTTTCAAGCAAACACTACCTCAAGAAGAACATTTCGAAAACTACAGGTCAGTAGATAGGCGCATACCACAGTTACCAAAATACTCCGAAGCTTTGCATTCAGTTTCCCAAATGCAAAAGCCCGATCATGGATCAATTAAAACCAATGCAAAGCATAGTTATGGAGTAAACAACGGTTGTGACGGTATTTCACCTGCAGAAATGTTCACATCACAGCCTCCTACCCAATGCCAGCCGACTCATATTGACACGATG